AAAAAAAAAAAAAAAAAAAGCTAAGTGCTTCGTATAGTGCTCGGCACACACCGAGAGCTCAGTAACTGTCCACCTCCGTCTCATGGGCACCACTGGGGCCCAGGACAGCTACAACCCTAGGACCCTCCCACCAGCCCCTCTGGAGGTTCAGTCCCCTCTCCCCCAGTAAGGAAACGCAGGCCTACACAGGAACTCAAACAGGAAGTGACTTGCCCAAGGTCACACAGGGGAAGGAGAAGCACTGGTCTCCTCCCCCCTCCACCCCCAATGGGCTTTTTCCTGAAATGGGGAAGTTGGTGGTCAGAGGTTTCCGGGGAGAGAAATTAGACCCCCCCACAAAGCCTCTGTCTCTGGAGGGCTGGGGGCTGGGTGTGACACTGACGCTGGGAAGTCAGGGCATAGAAAGTCCCTAGACAGACTCAGCTGTGGGTAGGAACCTGGGGTAGGGACCCTAGGATTTACATAATTGTGCCATCTCCCTCTTACCAGACATTTCAGGAGGATCAGGGGCCCTAAACCGTCCCCCAAAGTCACTCATTTAATTCTCACTGCAGCTTATCCAGAGAGCCACTCTTTCATCCTAATATTGCAGGTGAGGACCAGAGGCCCAGACAGGTTGAGTGACTTGCCCACAGTCACACAGCTAGTGAGGAACAGAGTGCAGATGTGAATTCAGGCTCCCAAGCCTTAACCCCGGGGAACTGCGTGAGCCCCACCCAAACACCAGGTGCCCTTTCCAGACAAGCACAGCCTCGGGGGCTGTTTCTGGCTCCTGCTGCCCCTGGCAGGGCAGGGTTAAGGCTTCGGCCTCACCCACACCTGCCACCCACACCCAGGGCACACTCTGGCCAGGAGCCCGGGGCTGCTGCTGCCCCGCCCTGGCTGCACTTTGCTCTCCCAGGCGACCCTGCCCTGCTGAGGCTCTGGACTGGCCGGAGAACTTGGTGCCTGCTGGGTGACAAAGCGGTGGTCTTGCCCCTCTCCAGGGCACACTGTCCCCACTGTAACAGAAGGATCCTGTTAAAACACAAGATGGGGCCGGTAACAGCGGCTCACACCAGTAATCTCAGCACTTTGAGAGGCCGAGGAGGATTGCTTGAGCCCAGAAGTTCAAGACCAGCCTGGGCAACATAGCGAGACCCCATCTCTAAAAAACAAAACAAACTAACAAAAACCCACAAGGTGGAATGTCCCTTCCGCTTCTTGAAAGCTCCAGGCTCCTACAGAATCAACGCCAAGTTCTCTCCAGGGCCTCCGTGATCTGTGTGTCCTCAGATCTCATTTCTTCCCGCTCCACTGTCCCTTGGGGACTCTGTTCCAGACCCTATGCCTCCTACCCCC